CCAGCACAACGATCGACACGAGAATTAACTCTAGATCCAAAATTGGCTACTAGGATTACACTTCCTATTATTCATTTAAATCTTCTAGAATAAAGTTCATCGCGTTAGCTATTCAACGCTTCGAACGACACCTCAAACGGTATTCTATAACTCAATTTACAACACTTTAAAACTGAATCTTCCAAAAGTCAAACAATATGGGTCGATGCAAAACCCCTTGGATCGACACGTACTGCTCTAACTGCACAACATGAGTCGACGCATCCTCTCATGGATTGACTCATCCCGAGTCTTGCACACTGCATGTATCAACACATGCATCATACGTATCGACTCATCCTGAGTCTTTCAACCTTCATGTATCGACGCAAGCCTCTTCGTGTCGACTCATACCGAGTCTCTAAGCCCTCATGTATCGACGCATCATGTTTGAGGTCGACACATCATGATCCTTCCTGCATAATTCTGCGATTTTCTCTGCATTTCACTACGGGATTCATGTTTTTAACCCTACAAACTTAATATAATCATGATAAATCATCACCTACAATTATCCTATAATACTACATCGATCAAACAACATCGGGACATCATTTTTCATCTAAAATTCATCAAATCTTCATCATACATCATCATATACATCCAATTCAAGAACAAGACAACAATCACCTCTAACCCCACATATCAATTATCACGAACTCAATTATAAAGTCAGAACCCCACCCTTACCTTGGATTGAATGTCGCTCTATAATCTTCCGGTTGAATCCTCGTTCTGTCGTTTTTCCACTTTTCCCAGCAGCTTCACGTTCTCCTTCTCAATCCTTATTCTTTCATTGCTTCTTTCTTTTCTACTCTTTCTAACAACAATAAAATAACCTATTATTCTTTATTCCTTATTGGGCTTAAAACTAATACACCCCCTTATTACTTCTATTCCTTCGAATAAGCCCACACCAAATAATATTATAATTCTAATATTATTTCTCCACTTAATAAATAAATCCAATTAATCATAACACGTCTTCTCAAATATTCCAAAAATAATTTAATTAAATGATTAATTAAGTTACGGGCGTTACACATTGAGTAACCAAAATATCATATTTGGAGACTAACACTTGTTTACCAAGATTCACGGTAAACAAGTAGAAAAGGCGTCAAAGGGTTCATTTCCGTAAGTAGTTGAAGAGCTTGGAGATTTTTCCACACAAAGACCTCGACTACTCATAAAAATATTCAAAGCTTCTACAAGAATCTTCTATTTCATAGCCTCTATTTACTCTCGACTTAGACGAGTGCCAAGAGTGCTGGATGAGGAATCTCGAATTGGAGAATGATTAATCGTGGCTATAGTTGAAGGTGATTGTTTTTTAGCTGTTGGTGATTGCACATGAGTGGGAGATGGTTATGGTGTTTCTTTCTCGACCACAATAGTCTGAAGTTGATTTAGACCTTGACTTTCTCGATTTCGACCAACATTTAGATTTTATTGTGTTGGACCAGCATCTTGAGTCCCTTGAGATTGATCAACATGATCTGAGGTCCCTGGTGTTGGAGCACTCTTTTCTTGACCAATCGATTGATGGTCAGGGTTAGGATCCTCAAAATCAGTTGAGAAATGTTCAGAGCTTTGGTTGTTTAGCCAATCAGATGATGGTTCAAGATGTTGGTCAAGATGATTCGGGGAACCATACACCAATTTACGAGGTACTGGACAACTTAGAAAAATCAAGAGTTTTACTTGAAAAACTCTAAAGTACATCTTAAAAGTATGATTGACTTGATTATAAAGTTCTTCGCAAATATATCACCCTTCAACAGAGCTATAGTTGTTCTCAACCATGCTAGCGTCTTTCCTATTGATAATTTAGGTCTATTTCAATAATCAATCGAAAGAATTTATGTTTTTGCAAATATATCACCCTTCATCGGAGTTATTATTGTTCTCATTCGTGCTATCGTCTCTCCAACCATCGATTTAGGTCAACTTTGATAATCAATAAAAAATATTTATGTTTTTACAAATATATCACCCTTTATCAAAACTATCGTTCTTCTCACGAGTGTCACCGTCTTTCCGATTGACGACGTAGGTTAATTTTGATAACCAATCAAAAGTATTTATGTTTTAAGGATTCAATTGTAGTTATGACATGGTCAAAATGGTGATAAACAAAAAGATCAAGTACCAAATCATAGGATTCAAATAGTACAATTGATAGCTCTTATAGAACACAATGTAGGCCATGTTGCATGTGGTAGTAACCGTAACTGACACAATCTATAATTGCAACTCACGTGCAAACAGAAGAGACCACCACTTCCACACGTGCACATGGTATACTGCAAGAATATTTGTAAACTAGGACACACAAAACTCTCGTGTGCATAGCTGATTTTCACGAACACAGAGATATTCTATTTAGCCAAATTTTTGGTACGCCTTTTTCACTTCTCTCAGAGTTCATACACATTTTTGGTCATGCTGTCACATTCACAATCTTCACCCACAAAAATTACATACGTAATTAAATATGAGGGACCCTTTTTGGCATTCTTTATTAAACTATTTCATTGACTATAAATTTGGTGAATTGTTTATCCAAAACACAGATCACATAAACTTTTCACAAATTGTACTTTGTTTTCTTGCAAGATACTTGTTACATTTTTTTTTTTCTTCTTTTCTTTCTGTGTAATAAACATTAGTCTCAAACAAAACCACTCTTTTGTTCAACATTTAGAATCAAACATGAAGAATCAACACACATTTTATTCAACCTCAACACCTTCTAAGCTAGGAGTTAACAAAGATTCACAAGTCATATCAAAAGCGAAGCCGAAAATCCGAATAATTCATATATATGCTCCAGAAATCATAAAAACTGATGCTGCAAATTTCAGAGAGCTTGTTCAAAGACTCACAGGAAAGCCAGAAGATCATGAAAAGGGAGGTGCAAGAAGCAATTCCAAAACTGCACTACCTCAAACCAAAGATTCAATGATTGTGCAAGAAGATGAAAAAGATTTTCTTAGTCTGCAAAATGGGATAAGTGTAAAGAATGAAACTGAAGAGGAAGAAATATGGAAAAGATCTAAGTCAAATGAAAAATTCAATGGTTTCTTAGATGGTTTTTCAGAATATGATGGTTTTATGGAAGAGTTAAGTACTATGCCTCTACTTAATCAAAATTAAGATATTTTTTTTATGCTTTGTTTGTTATATGTCTTGCTAATTGATGTGTGGATATTAATTACAAATATTATTCAGAGGAAAAATTTATGGTTATTGAAGATTGACAATTAATTATATATGAATGTGTAGTGGTTTCAAGTGGTCCTTTTGATGCTAAAGTATTATGATGAGCATTTATGAACATTTGTTGTGTTTGTACTTTGTTCAGTCTATAATAGGTATTCTTATGAATTTCTTTTTCTTATTAATGATTGCAAAATTTAGTAAATTAATATTTCTTCCATTCTAAATTATAAGAGAAATTAATTTTTTAGATTTATTAAATAATTAATATATCTAAATTATATATTTATAATATAGAATTGAGGGAGTAATCTTTACAAAAATCACATGCTAGCAATCAATTGAAAATTTTGTACAATTAAGATTGTATCAATTATTCTTTTATTGCTATCTCTTGATTTTTTTTTCTTCTTATCACTTTATTTAAAATGTTATCCACTCAAGAGATCAATTAAGAACATTGTGTTTTGAGAGCAAAATGTGTTATGAAATCATATACTATTGTCTATGAGTGTCTTGCTATTCTTATTGAAAAAATCAATCTTTTTAAACGTTATGTTTAATTATTCTTTGTAAAATATTCACTCTATTTAGTGATAGAAAATTAAAAGTGTCAAATACAAATGATATTGAAAATATATTGATTCGTTAGTACATGTTTTTTCATATTTAATTATTTTATTAAAAATAATTTTAAAGATAGTCTGTTTTCCTTCGATCACCTATTAGAAAATCCGTCAAAATAATTATGTTATTTAATTACTTCCAGAGAAACTATATATACAGTTTAGTTTCAACTGGTTATCTAAATGTTATTTTGAAATGAATGGGATACACTATAGTGGCTTTTTTTAACTTAATGAAGGTCAAGGTTTGGCTTGTATAGTTTACTTTTGTTTTACTCAAGATTATGACAACATTTGACTTTGGATGGCAAAAAGTCAGCTCCTAATACAAATCAAGGGGGCAAACCACATATCATAACACTCTAAGTAATATTAATAAAGATATTTTCTCACAAAGTCGGCAACATAAATTATTTAACATTGTGATTTGTTCTATTTTTTATTTAAGGTCTATTTGTGAGTTTGACTTTTAGAAAATTTTGAAGGAAAGGATTACATTTATATTTTAAAATGAATTTAATAGTTTAAAAAATAAATAAATAAAATATAATAATATATACTAATATATCAAGTTAGATTAAACGTGGGAAGCACAATTCTATCATGTCTTTCTCAATAGATGTAACTACAGTTTCCTCTTTAATACATCAATTGACTTTAGATATAATTTTTTTTATGTAACATCACTCTCTCCCTATAGAATATTTGCGTGTTTCTATGCTGGCAGAAAAACTAGCCACCAAACACAAAACTTATATAATAACAACAGGCATTACCAGTCTTATCAAAATTCCAATTTGCTATGTAACTAATCATATATATAAATACAACAAGAAGCCACCTCAAAATTATAAGCTCAATATTTAAACGCATTATTCACTAATATACTCGTCCATGAGCTTTATTCTTCAACTCTTTCATATTTGCTAAAAGTACAGATGTTGGTTGGCGCTGCTCCGGTGTCTTGCCATATGAGCGAGTTTTAACAATATCTGATATACCTGATATCACAGACAAATCATTTTGTGCTTTAGTAAATTGTAGAACCAATCCTTCATAGAGATAGAATGCGGAAACAATTTTATAAAGAGAAGAAAAAATAATCACCAAACCTTATCCACCAATATGTATCATAGGCCTATTCACCCTGTTAGCTATGTCAAACATACCGGCATGTGAAGGTTTCTTTCTCTTCACCTAAACCAAATAATAGGCAATGCATAAGGAACATGATAGAACAAAATCTTGTAGAATACCTTAGATAAACCTTATAATTTTAATTACTATACCATCATCCACCGTTGACTATTGTGCTAGGCAGGTGTCATGGTTTTAACCAAAATTGCGGCCGCAACATAAAGATTTGCAGCATAACCACAACCGCAAGTTAAAACGACGACAAGTATACAGCCATGTAGAATGCAATCACAATTTTTAGGGAAGATTTAACTAATTGGTAATAATAACAAGAAGTGCATACCGCAGCGCTTATTATCTCCCTAAGCTCGTGATCCTCTGCACCGTTCCGCATGGGATCTCTTAAGCTTACCTGCAGTGCAACACAAGAAACCCGTGTAAGACCGTCACAGTAGTCGTTTTCTAAAATTACACATGAAACATGTTATACATATTTAATAGGAAGCAGATCAATCATCATTTCACTGAAGTCGTGGCTTAAAAATGAAAAATAGTTAGTTTTCATGACTGCAAGGAAAGGATAATCCCTTAATTTCCATGTCTTCTGTCAAAATCACGCATCTGAAAAATATATCTTTTTACTCTTTAAGATCATGTCTTAATATGATTATGATTCTTAGTAGCAACGAAACCTCTAAAAAAAGGTGTGTCTGTCTCAGTGTCTGTGTACGAAACCGACACCGACACTTGTGATTACATTTATTATCTATTTTTTAAAATCATTACCAGTATCGACGTGTCAGTATTGGTATTGTGTTTTCAATGTCCGTGTTTCATAGATTATGAATCATATATCCCTACTAACAAACTTAAAGATGGACTTGACCAATCCATGTTTCTGTAGGGTACTTTATACTACTTACTTTGCAAATAGATTCCTGAAATTTATTTTCTTAAATTAAGAATCAGAATTTACGAAATAGCTTCTCGCTATCCCAAAATTTAGAATATATTATATTCATAATTCAGGATTGACAACAGAAATAACATGTTCAAAGTTCCAATCTGATGCTACCACTCTACTCTATCTTCTTTTATTCTGTAAAGTAACTGAAAATAGCTAGTAGAAAACACCCAGAATCATATCCAAAAATCGCATCGCGAACTATACGAATACGAATCTTTTATACACATTTTAAAACCTTATCATGCTAAAGGTTTAAGCTATGAAGCATTGACGTAGACACTGACCCATAAACATTGACCTAGTAATAATTTGAATAAATGGAATTGTAAAATATAAATGCATGTGTCGGTGTCGATATGTGTCAGACACCGGGCACACCATAAAGAAGAGTATAACAGAATTGCGGTCACCAAGTTTAAGTGGCATACATGATACACTGGACTATGATGGATAGAATATAACATACCTCCGAAGGTCCGAACAAACAAACTTTTAAGTTTCCATCAGCTAGTAGTCGCAATCTATTGCAACCAGCACAAAAATGTTCAGTCATTGATGTGATAAATGAAACTCTTCCTTTATGACCATCTATGGTGAAATTCTTGGCCGTTTCTGTCGGATGATCCTGAACTCTTTTTAAGCTAGGAAACTGTTTCGCCTGTTTGACAATGACGGTTGTGAAGGTTCTCAACTATAAAAAAACATTAAAAAAAACTATAAAAATGAGCTCTTCAGTCCGAAATCCAAATTCTACCTTACCACTGTATCCAACATTTCTGAGTAAGGTACAAGTTTCTTGACATTCCAAACATTTCCATCAAAAGGCATGAACTCAATGAATCGAACATTAATTGGCTTTTCACGCGTCAGCTCAACAAAGTCACAGATTTCATCGTCGTTGAATCCGCGCATTACAACACAATTGACCTGGAATGCAACAGAAACATACAAAACACATTCAAATGTATCAATCAGCAATACATGAATGCCTTTATGAGTTTGTCAAAAGGGAGGCTACTCATTGGGAGGTGAATCCAAATTGTCCATCGCAGATCGTAATAAATAGCAGCTAATTCAGATTTCAACATGCAATAGTGCTATATCAGCCATTTAACAACATTTTGTATTCAATACGGAACAATAGTGATTTGTTTAGATTCCACTTCTCTATAGTGTATCCAAAACAATTGTGATGTGTTCAAATTTCCCTGCGCTATTGTCCCGCTATTTAACAACACTATGGTGACCAAAGCGAAAAATGTGCAAAACTTAAAGAAACATGACCAAACATATACCTTAACCGGATTATAACCAAGATCAACCGCAGCATTAATCGAATCCATTACTTTATTATGCCCTTTCCTTCTCGTCATAAGCTCAAACTTCGCCGGTACAAGCGTATCTACACTAATATTCAAAGAAGTAAGTCCACACTCTTTAAGCTTCGGAAGTTTTCTCGCAAGCACAATCCCATTAGTAGTCATCGACAACGTCTCCAACCCCTTCAAACCCGACAACTCAAAACATAAATCTTCAATATCCTTTCTAATAGTCGGCTCACCACCCGTCAAGCGTATTTTACTCACACCAGAACTCACAAACAGACCCGCCAATCGCAGAATCTCGTCTTTCGTTAAAACCTGAGCGGTAGGAGTTAACTCCACACCCTCAGCTGGCATACAATACTTACACCTTAAATTACATCTCTCTGTTAAGGATATTCTCAAATAAGTATGAATCCTTCCAAATGAATCAACCAACATATCAGAAACAGAATTCTCTTTCGCCTTTTCTTCTGATAAAGGATCACAAGATGTTACAGAAGTTTCTGTAGAATAATGGTTACAAATTCTGGTACTAGCATAAGAACCTGTCTCAAATTTCACCTGTTATAACAAAATCAGTTTCACTATAGCTAGTCAAATTTTCATTATCACACAATCTTGAACATAAATATAACTAACTATGAGAACAGAATCATCACAGTTTAGATTGGATCTAAGTAATATTGATTGAAGTTGAAGAACAATTGAGGTAAAGTTTGTTGAGTGAGACTCATGAGAGGTAAAAGAGAGTCAAAGATAGAGAGATAGTTACCGGAATTGATGAATTTGATGGGTTGAATCGAACTGGCGAATGAATGAATTTGGAGAAGTAGCGTCTCATGATGGATAAAAGAAATGGCGAAGAGGTGAAGCAGATACAGAGGGAGAGAGTTTTGACGTGTGTTGGATTTGAAGTGTGAACATAAAAAATAGAAACATCGAAGGAGACAAAAACACAATCTCGAGTTGCTTACTCAATCTATATCCTTATCTTATTGTCGTTTAAATGTTTTTGTATATAAATTAATAAATTCAATGATATTATCATAAAATATTATATTTTTATAAAATTAAACTCTATCAATATATTAGAAGTACGGTAGAGATTAAAAAATAAATAGAAAAATTAGAAAAATAATAATTATTTTTATATTGAAAAGTGAAAATGACAATAATTTTAAAATGGGGAGTATAATATAAGAAAACAAATGTAATTGTAAATCTCTTAATTGTCCTTTGCTACAATACCTATATCTATTGAAACGAGGGTTAATTTGAGTCTAACTTTTGCTTTTTTAAACTAAATTCTAATTTTATCCAATTTAAATTAATACTTATTCCAATTTATACTTTATCTCACCGGTTGGACTTCTCTTTTAATATTGTACTTAAGATGGAACTAAAAATTTACTTTGTCACATTTCCAATGCAGATTGCTGCAATTTGGAAATCAGAAAGCATCCATCGCTTATGTCTTTCTCTTCTCATCTGCCACATTTTTTTATTCTCACCCCACTCTAATATTTTTATCTCATATGCTTTTACTCTCTTCTGCATTTCACCAAAATAAGTTTTTCTCCGCCTTTATCCAACGCTTTGTCTTTTATCTCTCCATAACATCTACGTTTTTCTACTATTTTCCATGACAAGACCTCTGGAAAGAGTTGCTGTAAAAGGAACTTTGAAAAGTTGCTGTAAAATTCCATCATAGATGGAGTTTGATATCAAATAGCAAGGAACATTTCGAGATGGTAGTCTATAATAGTGAGGTGAGTTAGATCGAAGTACCCTTTTATGGCTTCATAGTTGTATATCGTACTTTTATTTTGTTCCATATGCTGTCATAAGTACTAAGAATCTAAGTTCAAAATCATATTTTTACTTTGGATGATTGATTCGCTGTTGCACACAGATCAAAAACGAGTATTTTGTAAAATGCAGTATAGCGACAATGGCTCGAGTCGTATCGCAAGGATTCTTGATTTTATTATTAACTAATAGAAATCGAATGGGGGTTGGTTTTAGGATCGATTCATAACACGAAATAAGTGATTAAAATAAGTGATTATAAAAATAAGTCGATCTACTGTTTTCAAATTCCTACTAATCATTGGTTTTTACCTTACCAATTCCCTAAGCGGCTTCGACCTCTATTCGATTTCAATACCAATTGACAAGCGCATTAGATATAAAATATATTGAATTCCCATTTCGAATTAAGCAAACAGATTAATATAATCGTGAATTAAGCAAACGCGATATAGAATGTGATTTAACGACTAAGCAACGTAAACAATGATTAAAGATTAGGAATACAATCATACGAATTTAATCAAGACATTCCATGAAATAATAGATTAAGCAAATACAATTTCATAAAATAGAATTGAAAGAGAAACGAAATTGAATTGATAAATTAAAAACCTCAAAGCATTGGAACACGATTACAGTAGATCAATTCTGGATGATTAGTTCTTCATTCAAGCATACAAGTCAAAGTTTTTTCTCTAAATAATAAAAAGTAAAAACGAAATTACTGTAGCGGCTACTAGGTATAGCAATGACAAGTATTCGGTTCATAACCCAACTGGGTCGAAAACATAACCCAGGCCCAAAATAAATGACTCAAAACTTAAATATAAAATGTTGCAACTTCAACGAATTTTATGGCCCTGCTACAGTCCGATTCAGCTCTTGACTTCTGAATGAAAATCACAGCTCTTTCTCTTAGCTTTCCAACAACCGGTAGCACGCCTCATTCCGACTCCTGTAGCTCAAATTATGAATTTATTCGTGCAGAATGCTAATGCTGAAAATAAAGTGCAAAAATCAAATAAGAGTAGAAATAAACTAAAATAGAAAAACACTATAAAATACAAAAATAAGCTAAACAAACCATGGAAATACATAAGTACAATCATGTAAGAATGTGCATCAAAATTCACTGATCAATGATATAATGTGTAGACGATAATGTTTCGGTTTCAACTAAATAATATGTGTTGATTGTTGTTAAATATGCTATTATAATGTTTTAGCAGTAGAAATAAATATGCAAATCTTTGCTTTCTTGAGATATTATAGCCTGATAAACAAGTTGTAAGTCTCTGTATGTCTCTGTTTTTATTGTTGTTTTATGTTTCAGATGGTGTTTACATGTTGACACTTTTCAAAACAAGTTGAAAATTTCCTGCTTCTTGATTGTATATCATGAACTTATACTTCTTTTAATCACTCATTCCATGTCTACAGATGTTTAACCATTTTTATAAACACGTTAGGGTTCTTTAAACATGGGTATTGACTGTAATTATTGAATTTTCCTTTGCAGGGGAGTGATATACATGTTATCATACCCCAAATATCTAGGCTGATTTTTTATCTCCTTTTTATTGTGAACGACACTTACACTATTGCAAACTTCTAGGTTCAATTTCATGATCTGGTTTTCAAACCTTCACCTCACAAGTATCTCATTAAAATCACTAGAGGTACCAAAGTTAGTGATAGAAACATGCACCAAATTCCAGACAAGGAAATCAATTTAACTTCTTTAGTTGATATTATAACTGACATGTGGAAAAGGATTTACTTATAGGTAACAATATGCCTTTATTTTCTCATCAAATGTATTTATGTTTTCTATGCATCGACTTCATATTTGTTTTCATTATTACAGATGTTACAGGAATGGTTGACGAAATAGGGTACACACAGGGTCATGTTGGTGGTAAGAAGCAGTAGGTCAAATTCGTCATTCGAGACTTGAGGTATGTTTTCATATTTTCATGTTCAACTTAACCTTATGCTAAACTTATCCATGTTATTTTCCCATTCTATTTACAATACTTTTGCATTATTCTAGCAACAACACTATTAATTATACCCTATGAGAGGCGTACGCAATGCAATTTATCAAGTATATCCAACAACAAATCGATTCTTCCATTCCAGTTGTAATTTTGATTCAATATGCTAAAGTCAAAGAAGAAGGTGCTCTATTTTCCATTTAATTTTACTTTTCCAATTTATTTGTTAACAACATGTCTATAGCATCATTCATATATTTATTTGTGTAGGGAAATATCCTCTATTTGTGATTAACACGTACAATGTAACAAAACTGGCCATCAATGAAGATTTGGTACCAATCAATCACTTCCTCAAAAGGTGTTTCTAACCCTTAATTAGTGTATGTTCATAAAATTATATGTAGGGAGCCATATTAATGACTTTGTTTTGTGTTTAGGCTCCCAAAAGGTACATTGGTGGCCTTGTCAAGCCAGCGTAGTTTGTAACACCCTTTTAACCCCACATGTATTTCTTAAATATATTACGAAATAATTCAAATATTTTCACCATACAATGGTGTCACATCTTCATAATAAAACATCATAAAATTAAATCTTACTCCATAACACGGGTTACAATAACAGTAATAATAACTTCTTATATTATACACCTTTATGGTGTTTCATGCGACATCAAGACGTCATTTAAAAGCAACACAACATAATAATCATCAATCATAAATATTCTCAACTTTCAACTCATCATATTTAGTCTCATTAAAATAGAGATTTAAAATTAGCTCAGCAATAAAAACCTTCATAAAATATGTCAATAACAAAAGAATATAATATTCGCGAAACTAAGTGTTCCCGACCCGATGTTACATAACAAAATAAGACACCTTCTAATTAACGAAAACTAAATAAAATTCTTCAAAGCTCTATCCTTGATACTTCAGCAAGCCACTCTTGGGTATCTGTGAGTTATCACGTGGAGACAACATTCAAATGGAAAGGGTGAGTAATCATTATTCATTATAAAAGATACAAGGAAAATATTAGTAGTTACAAACAACATCATCATACAATCTATACACATCATTCATCAACACTTCATACTCACTGATACATCACAATAGAACTTAAACACCCTTCATCATCAATTTGTCATATATTCACATAGTTCACAATTATTATTGCATCACAACCCATAAACATAATTCATGAAATGTCACTTAGAATGATAATGCAACAACACTGACACAATTCATGTGGTACCAAAATTTATGAGCACCTGGCTCATCACCCTCAATAGATCCCCACCATAGGATCGATTCTGTCTTGGAACTGGAGCACAACATAAATTGCTACCGTCATCATAGGTAACGCTTTACTAAATCCCTAACAAGGACTTAACTACTTGAACTCAATCTACACAATGGGATTGAGGCTTAAAATGGATAGATCAACGTCCAAAAATATTATGAATGCATGATGCAAAACAACGTCATATAATCAATTTGACCACGGCTAGTCAAGTGCATCATCATTCACATAATCATCATATAATAATTATACGCATTTCATGTATACATATTACATGCACATCATTCAAACATCATCTTAGACAATATCAATTACATCACAACAACATCATAGCAATTTCATAACATCAACATGTCCATCATCTAAATAAAACATCTTAACATATCACATATACAATGACTCAAAACTCATAAACACATAGGCACTGGAATAATGCACCAATTAACTCATATTCATATATTATAATATAGTCATGCGCGCCAGCTTCCTAGCGCTACGAACAACGCGTCAAACAGAGTCCTGAAACTCAAGTTACAACCTTTGAAAGTTATTGTCAGGTCTGCTCGCCTGATGATCGTCCGATGACTCTAAAGGCACTTTCCGCACCTGACACTCGCTCGGAGAGGCTGGGGTGATGATCCACCCCCATAAAATTTCTAGGAGCTCTTCTTTTCCATCATTTCCCTTTGCCGCTTATCTCTCCTGGTGACGCTTGGGTGACTCG